CGGATAATGGGTCAAATTATAAGGGAGCTAGTAACGAGATCAGTAAATTATATGAGTTTTTATCAAGGCACTCAGAGTATATCGCTAATCTAATGTCTCGTGATTATATCAAGTGGCATTTTATACCCGCTTCTTCTCCTAGCTTCGGAGGTATTTGGGAGGCTTGAATCAAATCAGCAAAAGGTCACATCAAACGCGTCATAAGTGATACACGTTTGACGTTCGAAGAATTCGCCACGGTATTGACACAGGTTGAAGGTGTACTAAATTCGCGGCCACTTTGTCCGCTTACCCATGAACCGGACGATTTATCCTCATTAACACCTGGACATTTTCTCGTTGGCAAACCACTCACTAGCCTTCCTGAACTAGAGGTAACTAGTATTCCGACCAATCGCCTGACTAAATGGAAACATCTTCAAGCCATGTACCAGCATTTTTGGCAGAGATGGCAGAAAGAATATCTGTCAGAGCTACAAACCCCTATTAAGTGGAAGCAGCGCTCTGAAAGTTTAATCAAGGTTGGAACATTAGTTTTAGTGAAAAATGATAATGCTCCACCTATGCACTGGCTATTAGGTAGAGTAATTGAATTGTGCCCAGGTCAAGACGATGTTATTCGGGTTGTAAAAATAAAAATGAACGATGGTGTTATAACTCGAGCTATGAACCGTATTTGTGCATTGCCCATTGAATCCTAATTTAATGAATTGTAGTATATTTAGTTTTAGTTATAGGTTAATGTTGATTTGCTGCAGAGAAGTTTTTGGCAATGATGCTTAACAAAAATCAGTATAGTTGATAGTAACCTTGTTTTGAGAATTTTGAGATTGTTTTAGTAGAGTAAGTTTTTAGAATAGTATTTATATGATTTCAGTTGATTAGGAGGTGACTTCATATTATGTTTATCAGTGAAATTTGTAATAGAATTATATTTGTATTTTTTAAAGTACTTAGGTACTTTCAAGGCGGGCGGTATGTTAACAATCGAAATAGAAACCAGAACGCTAACAATAAAAACCAGTCGAATTAGCTGTAAGAGAATTGTCAGAAATAGTCATTGAAGCTGCCAGAAATATTGTAATCTCCTCCTGATAATATAAAAGAATACTGGAAAACAGTTCCACTCGTGTATCATTTCACAGTCAAAACATAGGTAACAACCAGACGTTTACCAGTCAGTCCATAATTTGGCCCTTAACCAAGGTTAGGAACGGAACACTCTCCAAAATGAATGGGTGATCTTAAGTCGTTCGGGTACAACCAGTTAGAGCAAATGTTGACTCCATATCGTTCGGGTATGTTAGAGCAGCTTTTAAAGAGTTAACTCTACAAACCCTGCCTTGAGAAATGCTGGTCGTGGTGCAGGCATGCGCAGTGCGATAAAAAATTGATATTTTATCGTTATATTTGAAAAACCAGTAAATCACTAGGAAAATTATTATAATTTCGTAAAAAATCTAGTAAACAGGAATGTATGTAAATTCTCAGAGCTGAGTGTCAAGTTAGCTAGTAGGATTTTGTCGAAAAAGAACCTAATAAGTATGTAAATTTTGAATAAACCTGATATAGCACAGTTCAGCACACTTCAGATTGGAAAAGAATTCAATTTTGTTTAATCTGATTTTCAAAATTTCAGAGGGCTGAGCTTCAAATTGGCTCCTCGCTCCCCAGTATGATTATTTTGTCGGAAAATAACCGAAATGAAAATCTTGAGAAAAACCTGATTCAGCACAGTTCAGCACACTCCAGATCCTTTTTGGTTTCATCTGATTTCCAAAATTTCGGGGGGCTGAGCGTAAAGTTAGCCCCCCAGTAGGATTTTGTCGGAAAATGACCGAATATGGAAATTTTGAGAAAAACCTGATACAGCACAGTTCAGCATATTTCGAATTGAATAAGAATCCTTTTTGGTTTCATCTGATTTCCAAAATTTTGGGGGGGCTGAGCGTCAAGTTAGCCCCTCATCTAATTCTTTCTATGTTATCGAAACGGCACAGTTCAAAATATCATCGGCACAGTAAAGCACACTTCGAGCACAGTAAGTGGTTGCAATTTTTTTAGAAAATTCGAATGTGGGGGGCTAACTTGACGGAGCCCAAAATATGTTTTACCATAATGTAAATGCAATAATGAACTACAACTACAGCTTTTAGTGAGTTTTTGTCATCCCATAGTATTCAAAGTTACGACGGCGCTGAGCTGCCATATATCGTAAAGCTAACTTTTTTTTCTAACATAATTTACACTTCTATCTGTAAATTTACACTTGTATCTGTAAATTTACACTTCTAACTGTAAATTTACACTTCTAACTGTAAATTTGTCGGTCATTGTCGGTCCTTGTCGGTCAGTGTCAGTCGGGTTGGTCAGTGTCAGTCGGCGTCGGTCAGTGTCGATCAGTGTCGGTCGGTGTCGGTCGGTGTTGGTCAGTGTCAGTCAGTGTCGGTCGGTATCGGTTGGTGTCGGTCAGTGTCAGTCAGTGTCTGTCGATGTCGGTCAGAGTCGGTCGGTGTCAGTTGGTGTTGATCACTGTCGGTCAGTATCGGTCGGTGTCGGTCGGTGTCGGTCGGTGTCGGCGACACTGACCGAGACAGAAGTATATACAAATGAACAGCCTATATAAAGGGCCCCACAGACTGCGTTTTTGTTGGACGGTTTTGTTCGACGTGCAAATCCAGTCGAGCAAAAACGACGCAAATTCGAAGTATGTGTGCGAAAAACTGTCGTTTTTTCTGGTATACAAAACGGATGCAAATATCTGGCTTCGCCTGATTGTTTGTCGGATATGTTCGATATGTCAATAAATCTGTGTGGGCTACGAATTTTAAAAACGACGGTTTTGTGTGGTATGTGGTGCGTAGCTACAAAATCTTACATTAAGTATTAACTTATAAAAAAAAAAAATTCAAAACTTTCCAACATGACTGATCTTCGCTAAACTTATCCGAGGTCTGTGTGCAACTCTGATCCGTCGTTTTTGCTCGACCAGATTTGCTCGCTGAACAAAACGGTCCAGCAAAAACGCAGTCTGTGGGGGCCTTTACATACGATTTTGGAACACCTTTAACCGAAAATGTGACAATAGCCGCTTTCGGAAAGTGTGATCCGATCAATTGGTTTGATCGGATTAATAATATCATCGTTCGTAAAATGATCCGAAGTCGAGTACTTACTCGCGTTCGGTAAGTGATCTTGTTGACTCGGCTTTCTTATATGTTTGTGATCACGTTAACCCTGCTCTTGACGTGAGTAGAAAATTAATCTATCAGCTATTTGTACTAGTGGGAAATCTACTAAATTTTTTTGAAATTTTTAGCACTCCTATCTTTTTTATTGTTTAATAATTCTAGAAAATATGGATACTCAGCGCGATCTAGGTATCATCTACCATGTTGTGTTGTGTTAGTTCCTTTTCATTATTTCTTAGATTATGTTACAGCAGCATGTTTATAAAAGCATGAAAGCCGGGTTTGCGGTTTGCTCGACTGGAAGTTTGAAAGTGACAATGTTGACAGTTGACATGAAAGCATTATTGACAATATTGCATACCTATGATATGACAAGCCCAAGGATGATACACACTACTAAGAATGGCCTATCCTTATAAGGCCTGTGTGTAACAAATCACCCCTGCCCCCACACCAAAATACCAGTTGTGACGTAGGCAGCATGTTATTTCTCGCCTTGACGTAGGCTGTTTAAACAGCTGACGACTAAGTTATGGCGTCGGAAATGGTGACACACCAATATGGCGGCGATTACCAAAAACGAGGCCGATAAGTAGTCCTGAAGGTGTGTATCCTTATCATCCTTGAATATATGCTACGTTATTTCGAAATTTTAAAAAGAAGTTTCGAGAACTAATGGAAGCGAAGTATCACTAAAAATCATTGAGCTAAAAATTCACTCGAAACAGTGGATCCCATTCCCATTCCCATTAAAGTTACCACTATAGTGGAATTTGCAAAAACCATCCCACTAGATGACTTCCAAGTCCACTAGAACTAGTGAAAAATCTACCGAGATGGCAACACTGCCATGTGTATTTAAAAGAAAGAGAGTTTCCTACATGGTTGCAAACATTGCAAATTCCGTCTCCACCAATTAAAAGAATTTGTTCACGAACATTGCTGATCATTCGCAAGGCAATCGTTTTGCGCGCTTGGTAGAAATGCACCTTTACATGAGCGCGAATGGCAGTAAATATCCAGTTAAGTTGCATAAAATTTTGTAGAGGGCGCGAGTGAACTTGGAGTGCTTCGAATTTTGGCGGTAAATGTCAATAGCTTTTAAACGTTTCAATAAGTGGAAGGAAAGATGACTACATATGAACAATGAACAGTAAATAAGTTAAAATATCTTCCAAAACGTTGAGTGGCCCTTAAAGAATATTTTCAAAAGTGTCAGCGTCAGCTTGTCTTGAAACTACACATCAAACTTAACTTTTGAGGTTAAAATTATATTCGATTATTTACGCGCCAAAATTTGAAAAGCTCCAATTACAGAAGCGCTCTCTTCAACTCAACTGTCAATGTTACATGCCATCATGCCATTGCGATGTACGATGCCGGGCCGGGTTGCCAGATTTCCATGTTCTTGGTTTCGATTCCAGATTTCAGTAATTTCGTGTAACGAAAATAGGATATTTTTTTATGTAAAATAGAAAGTTTGTAGGTACCTATTAACCAAAATCGCAAAAAAATATTTTTACCGGAAAATTCTTTGTACCACTGCTAAATTTCGGGGGGGTTTCAACCCCCAAAACCCCCCCCTTGGGTGCGCCACTGGAGCTAACCTCAAATCGTTGAAGAAAAACAGTTCATTGAGAAAAACGAACGTGGGTGCCAGCGATAGTCGATCCCAATCGTTCGGAAACGTTGAATAATCTACTCTGAAAACGAGCTAAACCGCGATCAGCTGATATTAACCTACTCGATCCAGGATTTCCATTTCCGAAAGCGGCTAATAAAAATTGTCATCTCCTGTCATGCTGTCATGCTGTGATTATTTTTCGCTATCTCGAGTATTTTGACAAACAGTAAAGAGCGGTTGCTTGAAATAGGATCCATGTTAAATGTGATGTAATCTGTTGTAAATACTTTATGCTGTTTTATAACTCGGTCTATTTATTTCAGATTTGGAAGCAATCATTGATACTGGGCATTACATCAGAATATAAATACAGCTCTGGAGGTAAACCTTAACGATGCAAATCCAAAAAAAAATCCGAGCAGGGCCCCAAAAGGTCATTGCTGCCTTCTGCTTGGTGGTCATTCTATATTTTGTTATTCAGACGTTTATACTCGACACAAGACAACCGCGCATGCATGAAAAGCAGTACGTCGTCAATAACCAAACTTACAATTATAATCGACAGATACCACTTATATTTATCGGTGGAGTACCAAGATCTGGAACGACGTTAATTCGCGCCATGTTGGATGCTCATCAAGACATCAGATGTGGCCAAGAAACCCGAGTGATACCTCGTTTACTGCAGATGCGTGCTCATTGGATGAAGTCCGAAATAGAATCCAAGCGCCTAATAGAAGCAGGTGTGGGTGGCGAAGTCTTGAACTCCGCAATAGCTGCTTTTATGCTGGAAATTATTGTCAAGCACGGAGAACCTGCTCCTCGACTTTGCAATAAGGACCCACTAATAATGAAGATGGGCAGTTACGTCGCTGACGTATTCCCAGAAGCAAAGTTTATTTTTATGGTGCGTGACGGCCGTGCCACAGTGCACTCAATAATTTCGCGCAAAGTGACTATAACCGGTTTTGACCTGTCCAATTATACACAATGTATGGAAAAATGGAACAATATTATAGATGCAATGAACACACAGTGCCATGAAATCGGTCAAAAGTGCTTGCGAGTACAATACGAACAGTTGGTGCTACACCCACGCAAAGTAATGTCGAATATTCTACAATTCCTGGATGTTCCATGGGATGAATCAGTGCTGCATCACGAAGACTTTATCAATAAAGGAGTTAAATTGAGCAAATTAGAACGATCGTCAGATCAAATTATTAAGCCTATAAATATGGGTGCCCTCAGCAAATGGGCAAGCTATTTTCCTAAAAATGTATTGAAAGAGATGGCAAACATTGCCCCTATGCTTTCGGTGTTGGGGTACGATCCGTTTGCTAATCCACCAAATTATGGAAAACCAGATGATGAGATTGTTAAAAATACACAAGACGTTCAGGGCAATAAGAGTCGCTGGAAAAAAAGGGCCAAAGAATTGAGTCTGATGAAGTTTTACAATTTGGACGATCAAACTGTTGAAACAGTGTCCAGCTACAGTAAGAGTTTGCGTATAGAATAGACGATTTTTTTCAAGTGTAGATTGTGGATTTCTTTTTTTTTATGTTGTTAAGTTTTGTTTCCTGTTATATAAATCATTAATAAACCGATTACATGTAGGCGGCGCTACTGTCAGAGTTTGGTATAAATCCTTACCTAACATAATAAAACATAGGTGTTACCTAAACAAAATGTGCCTAAACAATTACATAAAATCTGTTTTTTTTTTTAAAGATAAAAGTCAAAATGACATTATGTTGTATGTAATTTAAAATTGTCAATGCTTTCAAATTTTTTATGTAGAAAAGGCTTGTGTTGCCAACATAGTTACTAAATTTTTGACTTGGGGAATTATCTTTAAAAAAAAAACAGATTTTATTATTACTGTTCAGTTTCATCTACGCGCCCTGTATATAGTTGTAGGATAAATTGGGTATTTAGGATGTCAAATCCTATTTGAGAATGGAAATTGATTTGTTTTTTTTTCTTTATTTCTGTTTTCTCTTATTCTAATTGAATTGCGCGTGTTTTATGCCTAAGAATGTGATACGGCTTTGCTAAATTTGGCTTTCAAAAATGCGCGCGTTAAGCACTAAAAAAGAATATCGGCAAAGTCCTTACACTGCCGACAAGTATATCAGTTGCAAAAACACTCCGCCCGCTTCGTATGGTTCGAGAAAATAGACCCGCGGTTTTTCGTTTGCTGCGACCGGTTAAATCAAGAAGTTTTCGTTGCATCCCTACGCATTGGACCTGAACTTCCTGAATGAGCTGGCCAGCTGAGTGGAGTTTGGAAGTAGATCAATGTAAGGTGAAAAAATATCCTTTTTAGTTTCGATATTTTTCAGTTTCATTTTAAAATCTTTCATCGATTACCATTCTATCAGCAACCTGTGGATTTTCCAGTTTTAATTTCGCACAATTACATTATGGCTTAAAATTGCTCAGTACCCCAGTGTAACTCGGCTACTAATAAATAAAAATAATTGCCAATGTAGTAGCTCGTGTATTTAACAAATTATTTGATAGACAAGATTCTACCCTTCTTTTTATGGGACTTTCTATCTTCAAACCAACCTTCAATGCCTGCACTTGTAATAATGACACACTTTTCCAGTTCTTTGAGTGGCTTGAAAAGGCTATCATTAGGGAAAACTTCTTAATTTTTCGCAGGAATCGATGTCAATTCGCATAAAGTTTTATTTAAGCAGTTTTCTTGCTATTATAAATTTAATCTGAAAATGTAGCCCTGAAAAATGTTCAAAAATACAAATTTTATTGGAACTAACCTTTGAAATAATTCTGCGTTTTTGTCGGTTGTTTTGGCATCGACACATTTCAAACGCTCTCTTAGTTCATCAACTTTGATTATTTACTTAAAATTGAATAAATTATTAGTTATTTATTGATTTAAAGAGAAGTTATGTGGAAAACAATGACAATATTCCTAACTAACCTAACCCATACATGCTTATTATACCAAACCTGCATTGCCGGATTAACAGTCTTACGGGCACTGGATACTTGAAATATGAATAAAAAATCTCAAACAAGTATATTTCCACTGTTATGTTACAAGACCCAGTGTCTTTCAGAGTAGACCTGGGCGTTTTGAATCTTTTTGCTAAATTAATTCATTTGAGTCATTCGCCAAAAGTGATTCGATCATTACGAGCGATTCTTGAATGATTCACTTATGAACTAACTGAGCTTCGGGAAGAACGAACGGTAAAATATTCATGTTAGCATGTGATTGATGACAAAATCAAGACAAGAATAATTCTTGTCTTGATTTTGTCTCTGTCTGATTCAAGATTCAATCGTTCAAGCATCATTTTTACATTCACATTTACTTTCGTTCTCGTTCAATTCGTATCGTTCGTTTATTATTTTCGTAGTGGCGAGGCGCAAAGCAACAATAGGTACGCACTCATTCGGAGTAGAATTGTAGGGTTAGTAATTTTAGGCAAAATACATACATATATTTTTAGGGAGGTTTTCCGATGGGTTGAGGCGCAAAATGCGTTAAAGCTTACCAATGCACGGCCCTTTTTTTTTCTCAGTGATAAAGACAGGTCTACTAATAAGAAGTATACTGAAGTTACGTAAAAAAAAAGGTTCGACTAATCTGTGAGTATGGATAATATGTCTGGCAACTGAAAAATTGACGATCCGAAAATTTTCAGCCAGACTCACTTTTACTATCTGAGATAAGCCAAATTGCTATTTTTATAGGTAGTAGGTATAGGTACTTCATGTTCTATCGTAGTAAATGTAAAATATTTATGTCTGGGAAAATAAGCGTGCTTGTATTTTTCATTGAACTTGTGAACCCATCCGAAAATTTCAGCCAGACTTAAAAATTCTTGCTTTGTATCACCAGGAGAACAAACTATTTAATAGACACCAACTGGGAAAATGAGTGCTAAAAAATTTCACTGCCTCCTGGACTATAACGGATGTTCATCAAATCATCAGTACCTACCTATCATGACATTAAGTTGGGTATGGACTCTAACCTGAGTTGGGAATCCCACAGCTACGTACAGAACAGTGTTACCGATAGTGTACGTAATTCGGGTGGTGTGGTGCGTCTCAGGGTGCGAGGTTGCCAGAAGGGATTTGATTTCAGAGTGGATTTTGGGCTCCATTGAGCTTCCGTACAGTGACTCTATTACACAGTGGCGACAATTGCTGTCTTATTTTTGATTGGTTCTAAAATCCCATATATTTATTAAGCGGCCAGCTTGTTCCCACCTATTGCTTATTTCAAATACGAATTTATGGGATTTGGGTGAACATCCAGCATAAAACATGGAAAACAACGTATTTGATGGACCTAATAATATTCATCAAATACGTCGATTTCAATTTTTCATGATAGATGTCCTTTTAAATCTTTTAAATCCTATACTATTAATATTTAAAAGTAACAAGAGGTTGGTAACAAAATGGCGGCGGGACCTCTATTGTCGCCACTGTATGTAAAGGTTTATTTAGCCACTGTAAGCTTCCGGACTCTAGGCGGCCATCTAGTGGTAAAAGTGGTAAGATTAACATTAAGGCCGGGCCTAGAAACAGCAGAGGATAAAGGCGTTCGTTACGACCGATACGTACAAATCCGCGCTTACCTTGAGTAATTACTAGGGGCTAGCAGAAAAATGCCTTAAATATTATTTTATTTCCCAGTAAAAGAGTATGACAGAATTTCTTGTTAAAAAATAGTTTTTAAAGATGAAGGATTTCATTTTTTCCCTATATGTATATTCTTGGACCGGCATGGAAGCAAGCAGCCCTTCGGGAAACTTCCCAAAATCCCTGCCGGCCCATCGGCCCCTGGATGATGTAGGTTTATTGTATTATGTAAGGTATGTCTAAATACATACTGAATTATTTTATTTGTTAGCAAATAAATATCTTGACAAAGACGATAAATACATAATATATACAGGGTGGCCGTTTTAAGTGATACCACTATTGCTATCTCCGAAAGGGACGAGGTAGGTTAAATTCTTATTTTATTGTTAACTAACAGAAGGCTATTTTTGTTGAAGATTGGTTAAATTAGACAAAAGTGGCAGATTTTAGTATCTATTGAAGGTAAGTTCACAGGGCTTCCAAATTTTTGTTCATTTCCGAGATTTAAGGGAAAATGTAAAAAGTGCCTACAGCTTATTTAATGAATATTTCAAAATCTCTCAAGTTTAGAATGAAGTGTTCGATATGAAAGTGTCAGGATTTTTTCTTCTCTACAAAATGGCTGAATTGTTATCTTCACACCGGTTTTTAGGCATTTTTACATTTTTCCTTATATCTCGGAAACAAACAAAAATTTGGCAGCCCTGTGAACTTATTACCTTCAATCAGAGCCGTCAAAGATACTTTTGAAAAGTATCTAGTTACAAGATAAGTTACCTATTTTTGGGAAAAGTATCTGAAGTTACTTTGGGTATTTAGTTACTTATTAAGAAAAGGATCTTAAATACGTATCTTAAGTTACTTTTTAAGATACTTAATAAGATACTCATTAAGATACTTTATTATTATTTCCGAATAGCAGGCGGAAAAATCGATTAGGCTATTGCTGTTTTTGGTCCACAAGTTCAAAAACAAGATTTTTCATAGTTTGAAAATTCCAAATTCGAGAAGGTTCAATTCTTCTCGAGTTTATTGTATTAGGATCTTCAAATCAATACAGCTTCTCATATCGGTGGATTGCTCCCCATGAATACTGTTTTCTCCAAATTCGAAAAAACCATTGTCGACAATATTTTCCTTATAAACAGGAATCGGGATATTATCATGACTTTTCTTGTACATAGTACTTCAGCTTTACTGAACAAACATATCTTAATATATGCTCTGTTCCAACCGACAATGGAACCGTCCCAGAACCAGTAATTTTCAGTTGCCAACCGATTTTTCATAAGTTTGACGTTTATCCTACTTGACAAATGAATTGATCGACTGGAAATTACCATTCTAGAACGGTTCTCATGTCGGTTGGAATAGAGCCAACTCGCAGGTAGTCGATTCTCGAATTTGGTAGAAGTGAACGTTCCCCTAAGAGAAGTGAGAGATCACATCAAACGCTCGTTCTCTTGATGCCAAAGTTGGTATTCTCGAACGTATGGGATTATGATAGAATGAGAGAAAACTTGTCAAATCATAATGCGTTGTTGCCAACAGTATGTAGAATTAGCCATAATTTTTGGTGCGTTAAAAGGACGAATGTCATGAGAAAGAAGAAAATCAGTTTATTTATTTGTGTTTTGGAACGTAACCAACCTTATTCTTTGCTTATTTATTTGCTGAAAATCAAATCATTAATCATTCTATTTCTAATTTTTATTTTCGTGTTGTTTTGTTTATGTGAAAAATGAATTTGGAAAAATCAAGATGTTCACCTCAGTGTTGCCAGATGGAAAAAATAAAAAATGGTATTTGTCATTCAAAAAAATGGTATTTTTCTGCGATTGACAAGAAATGTCAGCATTTTTGACCAGTTGACAGGTCGCAAAACTCAATATTCTGGTATTTCAATTATGTTTCAATAGTTGCTAAGGAATCAATGAATAACAAAACGGGAAACACTTTTCCGGCCTAGGCCGGGAAAGTG